GAGGCACAGAGACAAGGAGAAGACCTAATTGGATGGGGGCAGATCAGAGTGATGCAGCGACATGCTGAGGAACACCTGGAGCCACCAGAAACTGGAAGACGCATGGAAAGATCCTCTCCTGGAGCCTTGGGGCGGAGTGTGTCTCTGCTGACACCTTGATTCTGGATTTCTGGCCTCCAGAACTGTGAGAGAACAAATGTCTGTCATTAGCCACCCAGTTTGTGGTCATTTGTTACAGCAGCCCTAGGAAACTATTACACACATTTATTCCACTTAGTTCTTGAAAGTGCTTTCCAGCAATTTCCCTCCACTTACCAAGACTCGGATCCTGAAGATTGTAAAAGAATCATCATCCCTTCAGCTCCACAGACACATATGAAACACCCGCCAGGTGCCAGGCCCCATGCTGGGCCCCGGGGACCCAAGGCAAATCAGCGAGAGGTGCGTCCGAAGGGGAGACAGATGGAAAAAGTCATTACAGCATAATCTGATCGTCAATGTTACTGGACCTGACACAGTGTCAGGCAAGGCAGGGACACAGTCATATTTGCATTCTTGAAAGATCTCGGCCACGATGCAGGGATGGACTCGGACAAGAAAGGGAGGAAACCAGGAGGAGGCTTTGCCAGGCCCAGCGTCAGGCCTGAACTGGGCGCGGACAGCAGGGATGGTGACCGAATGTGGATTCAGCACACTTTGTAGAGGTGCGTGGACATGAACTGCCCACAGAGTGGCTTGTGGCCCTAGCAAGTCTTTCCAGGTAGGCACTGGCATGGACAACTCTTCTGAAGATCTCGATGGTATGTACAGAATTTTAGAACTTCGAAGCATCTCTTTTTGGGTAGGGGACAGCATTCTGACCTCCAGCGCCCACAGAGCAGCTCACATGCTGGATTAACCTTTAAGCCTATTAACCATAGGTCAGCACCCGCTTCCCGCCACACACCTTCTGTCTTGAAAGAGGCCCCCAGAGCTCCCTGGTGGGAGGATTTTCCCAGTTTGGTCCCGAGGACGGCCCGTACCTGTCTTGACCTCGGGCAGCGGAGCATGACGCTCCAGCTTTCCGAGAGCCTTTACCTTGACCTGGAATGAACCTGTGGGAGCCGAGCATGATGGCAGTGGCAGACAATGCTGCTGAGTCATTTGGCCCCAGAGACAGTCAAGGGTCCCTGGACACCCACCGTGTGTACACTCTCCATGCAGTGTATCACTTAGCGCTCATGGGGACCCGCTACAAACTCTGACTCCTCTGAGGGACATGTGGACATGTATAGGACATCGTCTGACCCAGGCCCCCCACACTGGAACAGAGCCAGTCCCTGAAAATTCTGGAGAGGGGTCTCCCCTGCCAAGCCCACAAGCTGATGGGTGGTGTCCCATCCACGCAAACCCACCCCCAGCACTTTCCCTCTCAGGTGACATGAAGCCCTGGGCAGTGGGAGACCTGCAGACCGGGCTGATCTGCAAACTGGCCTCAGCCTGCTGTGGGCCTGGGATTGGGTCAGGGCCTCCCTCAGAGGCCACGGGAGACAGCAGTGTTCCTGGTGGGCTTCCCACGTTCCCCCCAGTCCCCGCGGGATGGCAGCAGGGCTGGAGCAGGAAGCTGCGGCTTCCTCTACCCTTGCTACTTAAAGTGAGGTCCATGGACCAGCAGCGTCAGCATCGCCTCGGGGTTCTTTAGAGACGCAGAATCTCAGGCTCCAGCCCAGACCTGCTGAATCAGAACCTGCATCTACCAAGACCCCTGAGGAATTCATGTGCCCATTAAAGTTAGAGAAGCCCCCGGCTAGGCCCTTATCCTCCACAGCCGTGACTGTTCCAAGCCTCCCACCTCCTCGGAAGGGGTTTCCGAGAGGGACTTTATGCTCATTTACACGACTGCCTCTTCATCAAAATACGAGGGTACTTCAAAAAGTTCATGGAAAAATAGAATTAAAAGATAACATGAATCTTTCTACGAACTTTTTGAGGTATCCTCATATAAGTTCCCTACAGATGGGAAAGCTTATCCTTCAGCTCCCCGGCGCCTGCACCCTGCAAGTGTACTGGAGGTGCGTACCCAGTGCTTGCTGAACAAGGGAACGGATGTGTCGCACAGCAGGCTCAGGGCGAGCTGTGGCCACGTTCATGTCCATGCTCTGCATCATCAGGCACAGGAGGCGAGATGGCACATGAGAGCAAGGAGATGTGCCGCCCCTGCCAGAGCTGCTAAGATTTGCTGTTTGCACAGACGGCCAGAGAGACAGATGCCTGGGGACATAGGTCCCCTCCCCCACCTCCCATTCTCCTGGACACACAGACCCCCTGCCCTGGCAGCAGGTGGAATTCAGAGTCTCCTCTTCATTGGTCTCAACCCAACTACAGACTGAACTCACTCGGCCACTTCTTCACCAAGTAGGGATCCTGCCTTTAAGGAACCCAAGGGATGCAGATGGCCCAGCGCTCTGGCTCACAAGTCCCCTGAGGCTTGCTATCTGGTTTCCCAGGGGCACAGATGTGGGTTCGGGGTTCAGGATGGCTGGTTAGGGCCCTCACTTCTCTCTCCTCCTTCCCCAGATTCAAGTGCATTGAGAAAGGAAATAGTTTGAAAACTCCAAATCAGCACAGGATAGCTGAGAAAAGGTAAACTAGGAAAAGAATATGCATAAACTATAAAGACATGCGACAGATGGACAATGAAACCCATAGACCAAGGGGCAGGAGGGAAAAACAGGCTCAAAACCACGAGTTTTTCTAGAAAAGGAAAAGAGTGCAGGTGAGAGGCTGGGTGTGGGTGATTGACAGAAGGGGCATGGGCGGATCTGCTGCGCCAGCCCCACCCAGCAGCAGCTTAGCACTGAATTCAGTGTCTGCCCAGAGGGAAAGCTCCATGTACAGCTCTCTGGAGTTCCAAACTGGGTGCTGGGGCCAGAGGAAAAGGGCAGCACCCCAGGCCACTTAAGGGGCCCACAGGGAAGTGGAGCCCTCTACTCAGAAAATCAGACCCACAAGTTCCCTCTGGCTGCAGGCGTCTCCCACCCGTGCCCACCTCACAATGACCATGGCGGGGCTCTCGCCATGGAACTTTCATTCATGGCGGGCAGACAGGAATTCCTGATCTGCAACCAACAATTCTGTCCAGACAACCCCTCATCTTCAAAGATGAACAGACAACCAGAGAATACCAAAAATAGAAGAAATTCCAGCACACTGAAAGAAAGACAGCAAACTCAATAAACAGACGGACCAACTCATGAGGTAGGTGAAATAATGCAGTAAACAGAAGAAAAAGGTAAAATAACTAGAGTTTATATTTTCAGAGAAATTTCAGAGGAGATATATATATATATATATTTTTTTTTTCGCAGCTGGCCAGTACAGGGATCCGAACCCATGACCTTGGTGTTATAAGGCTGCGCTCTAACCAACTGAGCTCACCAGGCAGCCGAGGATATCTATTTTTTGAAAACAGGCTGCTGTGAAAAGGAAACATTCTCAGTTTTGGAAACTGCAAACATGACTGACAAATTCTGGAACCATCAGTTACTGGGTTGAATGATGCAGTAGATATGGAGACCTGGAAGTTCATGACAAGTTTCCCAGAACACAGCACCGGAGGACGGAGAGATGAAAAATAAGAACAAAAAGTTAGAAGACATGGAAGTTAGACTGAAGGTTGACAACATCTCCCAAAGTTGCAGAAAACATTGAACAGAGGGGTTGAAATGAAAGAAAACATTTCTGAGCTGAGGAAGATTGAATTGTCTAGACTGCAAGGTTCCAATAATTGCTGAGCAGGAGTAATGAAAAATCGACACCCGCCTGGTNGTTAGACTGAAGGTTGACAACATCTCCCAAAGTTGCAGAAAACATTGAACAGAGGGGTTGAGATGAAAGAAAACATTTTTGAGCTGAGGAAGATTGAATTGTTTAGACTGCAAGGTTCCAATAATTGCTGAGCAGGAGTAATGAAAAATCGACACCCGCCTGGTGAAATGTCTAAACTCCAAGAATGGAGGTGGGTTTGTCTGTTAAGTTCTCACCATGATTCTTGCTTTTTATAGGTGACCTTGGCTTTCATTTATCCATCCATATATTTATGATTTCAATCAGCAAATCTTTATTGAGACCTGGGCACTCTGCCAATTACTAAGGACGAATAAAACAGGCGCAGACCCTGACCTCACAAAGCGTGGTCTGGGCGGACACAAGAAAACAGGCAACTCCCGCAGAGGCGGCACAGCCCAGCAGTAGAAAACATGGGCCCTGGAGCCTGACTGCCCGGGTCTGAGTCCGGCTGTGCCTCTCACCAGCTCAGTGACCTTGGGCAAGTGACTTCACCTCTCTGTACCTCAGTTTTCTTCAATGTAAAATGTATCGCAGT